CACCGCCACCGTGCGTGTCTGTCTGAGCCTCGACGCTCCTGTTGGCTTCCGGGTAACACGGCGGCGGCGGCGGCGGCTGGTGAGCTCCGCGCCCCGCCTCGCCATAGGACGGGACGGAAGCTGCGGATGGACAGAAAACCCGCGGCTCAGACGTGCTAACGATCGTTGGCTCACACGTGCCGCCTTGGGGGTGTCGACGTACAGATAGTCATGATCTCACAGTGTGGGGGGGCGTCCTGGCCGAGGTAGGGGGGGTGGTGCTGGTAGGCGTAGGCGGCGTCGGGGGTGTACGTGGGGGCGTATGGCGCCACCTGCTGCTGCTGCTGCCAGCAACTCTGATGGTACCACTGAGGAGAGCGGTCGCCATGTCAGTGCGCCGACACACACGCAACGCACACGCACGCGCACGCACACAACCTGCACTCCAAGATTGAAGTAGTACTGCAGCACCCGACAGTCTGCAAGAAGCGTCACAAAAGGCAATTCGGTTGGAAATCGTAATCGTATGAACCGGCGGCGACGTCTCGGCACCACCTCTGGGTAGGTCGCTGCCGCTGGGGTCATAGGAGTAAGGAGGCGGGGCCACCACTGAGCACAGCCCCTCCCCCAATTCATTCACCAACCAGGGGGTGGCTGGGATCGCCATGGCAACTAAAAGCAAAAACCACCTGAGCACACGCGCAGGGCTTTCGTTGCGCGCGCTCGTACGCACCTGACCGGGGTTGGGCGTGCGCCACCGCCGGCGTATGAGCGGCGGCGGGTACGCCAGATGAAGACAAGGGTGAGGAGGAAGAGGAGGACGTCGGCGAGGAAGAAATCACCGGGATTGGCTTCACCGCCACCTGCGTGTAGCTGAAGGTCATCTCAGCTCGGGGAGGTGACTCGGCCACGCCCCCTCCCTCCTGCTCCTGTCACATGATGACCACATCATCATCATCATCATCATCGCTTGCACTGGTCAGAGTGCACGTTACCTGCGCGGCGGGCCTCTCGACGTCGCCGGCGTAGACGCTCGGTGTCTGGTAGCTGCCGTCTGAAACGTCAACTTCCCGTCAGCGCGGCCGACGGGACCGCCGCGTGGCGCCAACTTACCCCGACGGGCCGACATGAAGTCCTCCGTGAAGTCTGACTCAGGCAACGTTACAAATTGTCACGCCAATCCGCTCGTTTTTAGCCGCCGCCCCCCTCGATGCTAAGCCACGCCCACTCCGGCTCACCCCGGTCGCCGACGCCGTTGGCGTCGTCCTGCTCTTCTTCGGACGAACACACGGACGCGCCGCCCGCCGGGGGCGCGATCGGGAGGGGCCC